ATTTCCTCCTTAGTAAAATATTCTGTATGATGGTTTTTATAGAACTCCAAAGATGGCCACCTTTGTACCCGAGAAACTCCGTTTTTTTAATTTGTCAAATTGCAATTTGAATTTGATAATTTCAATTGGCAGTCTAATGGTGCAATGTTGACAAAAATGGGTAAGGTAAAATCTCCTACAACTTCCCACATCGGCTCTTTTATGACGTTTTCGTTGTAACATCAGGTTGAGCACTATCATGCAGCAAAATCACTTTGTCGTATCTTAAGGCCCATTTCGGTCGTTTTATCGCCAATTCACGGTTTAATTTGGTTGATAGTTGTTGATAAAGTGCTGCTTTGGCCGTTTCAGAAGCTCATTGTAGAAAGCGCCTTTCTGATCCCACCATATGCACACCTAACCTCCTATTCGTCACTATTCCGTTTTGCAGTCGATTTGGGCTTGCTGGTTTGATGCTGGTTTAAGGCCGGTCCGTTATCGTCCTCTCTTTAGACTGTCAAAATAAATCCACTTTTCGTCTCGTGTCACTATGCAATGCAAAGAAGCTCTTTTTTGTCGGCGGCGGCGGCTCTCCTTAAATTAAACTTGAAAAATAAGGCTTGCCGCAAATGGCGATTTCGGCGAGTACAAAAGCCGTCATCTTCAAAGTCCTATAAAATCCATCACTCAAAGTAACTTGTACATAAAAGATATATAAATAGAGCTTTTGACTCAATTTCAAACAAGAGAAAAATTGCATTTTTATTGTTATTACAGCAAAAAGAACGGAGGAATCATATTTGTGCACCTAACGAAAGATTCAAGAAAGCAAAATTTTGCCGAAGCATCTATCTCTAATATACCATTAATGCAAGATTGGCGGACAACTTTGGCGGAGTTTAGAGTCGTACATGTTTCGGAAAGTCTCGCTGGGAAAGTCAGCAACTAAGTTCGCCAACCCAACATGATATCAATGAAAATCCGAGCCCATTCTATTTCTGAACCATTCATATCCATTTAAACACAAGAAGTTGGGCTCCTACCATCCTCAGTTTCTCAGGATGTGTAAAAACAAAGCCTACGGACTAAGTTCACTTGCACTTATGCGACGTTTTCTCTATAGAAACCATACGCAGGAGCAGGTACTGCGGCCGGTACGACCTTTCTCAAGGTCGTTTTTTTTTCCAATAGGTTATATCGAAAAGTAGTGATTTTTTACCGTACTTCTCTTTACCATTTAACAGCTAGGGCACAAAGGTAGCGGTTGCCTATGGAAAGATATTCTCCACGTCCAATATTTTCCAAAAGCCTTTCATTCAGATGGTTTCATTGACCGTTGATTTGGTTAACAGAGACTGTTAATTCATTAAAATCGTCGTCGCTCGTCGCAGAGAAGCTAGTGTAATAAGTACATAAAACCCTTCTGAACGGTTCACTCGATTATCCATGGCAGTTCCGGTACGGTAAACAAAATTGAAGGTGATTTCTATTGAGGTGAGATCTTTTCAGTAGCATAATAGAAGTACTATTGCACCGATAAAGAACCTTGATCCAAAATCACTTTTGATCAATTAGTAGAGTGATTTCTAAAACACGGACCGCATTTTCTTGCGACTGATTCAACATAAATGTCTCGCCAAAGTAATCGATTTCTGTCCTAAAGGTTCGATACACAGGAATCTGGATGTACGTGATTCACTTGTGCTCACAAATTCGTAATAGTACCTTTACTCTTTCGTCGTTCTTCATCGCTTTTAGAACATCTCCTGATGGTGTTATATGCTATAAAACAGGGCAATGAATGAGAAACGCTATATTTTTGAAAAAATAAAGAGGAAAATAGGCATGATATTTCATATTAATGAAGTAATTGAATCACTTCCACTTGCATCATGAGCGATATCAAAAGGCTGGACGGCATCGTCACTCCCTGGACTTAATCCATATAAATCGGTTATCGACTGATGCACTTTATTCATGGGGTCATGATAATCGTCAAATCATACAGCAGACAATTGTTACATTAAAGTCTAATTTAACATTGTGTCATATTGAGTGAAAAACTAACGAGCCAATGTTGGTATTTGGGAAACCACACCGTAGTCAAGGCCTGGCATAAATGAAGTCTACTGGTATTGAGTTTTCACTGTGGCTGATTGGTGTTATCTCTAATTTTTGTTGTTTTTTTTGATCTGCTAAAACGTTTATTCTGTGTTATTCACTTCTAGTCGTTATAATTATAGATGGTGAATTGATTAGGCAGTGATAATGATATCGTCTAACGGTCGCAATCCTCATATGTCGGTCGCATACAAGTTCAAGCAAACCTCCTGGTGCCGTGAAGTTAGTACCAAACTTGATCAACTCGCTATCGTCAGTACATGAACGACAGCGACATCTTTTATTTTGTCACTTTATTTGATCGTTTTAGAGTTTTTTCCACTGTGTTAAGCCCACTGCTCCAAATGGTCAATTCATTTTTTGTTTTCTTCTCAAACGTCGTAGAATACTGATTGAACAAACGATGGCGACTACGAATTCGGTAGGACGACTATCTCATAGATTTAACGGAAATGAACTCCACCAGCGCTTAAATGCTTCAGGAAGAAAATCAAAAATTAAGGAGCAAAGCGCGAACTCAAACACATTTTCGAAGAGTTGAAGAATGAACACGAGGTAACAACCGGCTGTGAGAGCTATCTGAATCGACTCTAATTTCGAAGTCGGGTGAAAAAATTATATCAAGATATAATTAAATGTTTTGTTGATGCAGCAACTGCCTGAAGATATCAGCTGTTTGTTTCCGATGCGAATTGCAGTGAAATTATCTCATCAAGACAATTAGAATCCTTTCATTTGGCAACTTTAACGGTGATACGATGTTATATATATATATATATATATATATATATATATATATATATATATATATATATATATATATATATATATATATATATATATCACCTGTATCACCTGTCGTCCCGTTGATCGTCGAGTGACTCGAGCCGGTACCAGCAACTCTTCCATTTTTCCCTATCGCGTGCAAGAGTAGCCCAGTGGGTGCTCCTCGCTCTAGGGATTCGCTGAGCATCATATCTTTCTTCTATCGCTTTCGTGAAGAGTCCGGCCCACCTTATTTTCGATATCCTGGCATGTAGAACGGCGTCTCTGATTTTCCATCGTTGACGTTGGCCGGAACTTCGGATCCTTTGTCTCATTTGCGAGATACGGGATACTCCTAGCATCGACCTTTCGACTGCGCGTTCGATAACTCCAAGTGATCTTTCATCCTGCTTACGTAGCGACCAGGTTTCTGCTGCATACGTTAGGGCAGGGATAATTGTCGAGTCGAAAAGGTGGGCACGGAGTCGGATGTTCTTTGTCCTCTTCACTACATCTTCGATGCTCTTAAACGTTCCCCAAGCCGCTCGTTTCCTCCTGCTCAACTCTGGGGCTAGGTCGTTCATCATGTTGATTTCACGACCTAGATAGATGTAACTGGAGCATTCGGAAATTGTCGTTCCGTTGAGCGTGAATGGGGCATTAGAAACCCATCCGTTCCTCATGAACATTGTTTTCGTTAGATTCAGTTGAAGACCGATCTTTCCACAGGCGTTATCGAAATCAGTCAACATTCGTTCCGCTTGGCTGATGTTTGGTGTTATGAGAACGATATCGTCAGCAAAGCGAAGATGGTTTAATTGTCGACCGTCAATTTTCACTCCCATTTCGTCCCATTCTAATGTTCGCATGACGTTTTGTATGGTGGCAGTGAATAGTTTTGGCGATATTGTATGCCTTGTCGAACCCCTCTTCTTACGTCAATGGTGATATTGTTGTAGAATGGAGATATTCTGGTCGTGAAATCTTTATAAAGCTCACGAAGGATCATTATGTACCGAGTAGGGACGCCCTGGTTATCCAGAGCCTCTATAACCGCTTCTGTTTCCACTGAATCAAAGGCTTTTTTCAGATCGATAAAAGTGAGACAGAGTGGTTGTTTGTACTCTCGCGAAACTTCAATGAGTCTTGTGATCGTGTGGATGTGGTCTATGGTACTAAATCCTTTTCGGAACCCTGCTTGTTCGCATGGCTGTCCTTCGTCCAGTGTTCTGTCAATCCTGTTCAGGATGACTCGAGTAAAGAGTTTATAGACAACGGACAGCAAGCAGATTGGGCGATAATTGCCTATGTCGTGAAGGTCTCCCTATTTGAACAACAATACGGATATATAAAAAGGATAAAGGATAAAGCTCTCGGCGTTGATCAATCCCTGAGGGATGCGCCATGCATTCGACTTCAATTTTTAACTTCGTTTGAGGTGATTGAATGCACATCTGGCCTTTACAATGACTCGCGGGTGGCATCCCGCTGAACCGAGTCAGTGCTGCTTATCTACCAATTTACCGACCCCGGAGGGATGGATGGCTTGGTGAGCCATGAGCGCGAGATCAAACCAGTGACTTCGTGTGCGACGCAGTGCACCTCTAACCACTGCGCCACATGAGCTGTGGTGCCAATACGGATATATATATATATATATATATATATCCACTAATGATGAGGATTTGCAAAGTCTGGATGGTCGGGCGCAGTTCTAACCTGTATCTAAGCTTTTTCCGGGAAGCATGCTAACTATTGCACTACCGGCGCTCCCTTCTGCCATTACAATAGTGGCATATAAAAAGTGATGGTAGAATAGTAGCGCCGGTAGTGCAATGGTGAGCATGCGCTCCCGAAAAGGGTGGAGTGCGGATTCGAATCCTTTCCAACGTTTAAAGTTCTGATTTTGCATTTCACTCAACATTGTCGGATAAATATCTCATCAAACACTGAATATCACGCTTTCCATAATATTCTAACTCGGCAAAGAATTGACCGATGGCATCAGCGACCTATGAAATCAACAAAAAAAATGGTTATTTGTGCTGTACAAAAACATTTACATCAACCCTGATTTGAACCCAGATCTCACTCTCTCCGGAGTTGAAACTTAGAAAGAGTGTTGTGCAAAACGAGCGTCGGTAGTGCAACGGTTCAACAAGCGCTCCCCCAAAGAGTGAGATCTGGGTTTAAGTCCCGGCTGACGCAAATGTTTTTGGACAATACTCTACATTATTGGGTGTATTACAAGATCATATCACCGCAAGAGATGGTCAATGTTATTGGCAGTGATAAACTTATAATTCTATCCGTACTTCGTCACCTCACCTCAGATGCAATCTTGTTAACTTGATTGGCTGACATCTCCTTCTCTCCAATCCCGTTTAGAAGTATCAATTTAATCATTTATCACTTATCAATCTGCCCATCTAAGCAAACTAGACGTGTGTAGATATCATTGTTTCTCTATGGCTTCAGTCATTGACTTTGAAACGCAAGATTTCGCTTCAACCACAGTCTGGAAATGTTTGTTATACAGATGTAATAAACATGACCAGGCCCAGAATTCCCGCTGAAATTTGAAAAATTCAGTAATTGCAAGAAACAAGACCAACTGAATCCTAGACCCTCTGCGGCATCTACGACGAACCAGAAAAGAAATTTGACGGAATCTCAAAAATAAGCGACACGAATATCAGTTGTCGGGGCATTCACAAATATAACGTTCACCTATCAACCCTGCTAAATTAGGACAGGATCCCTAACACCTTGGGCATTGTCAACCGAGCACTTTTACTACAAAATTTTTCTCTTCAAAATATCGCTGAGGTAAGCACTACTGATTCTTCATCGTAGTTCAAACTTCATAGCTACATACCACCTAAGTTCATTGAAGTAGGAAATAAGAACCACAGTCATGTGCTTCATGGAGTATCCCACCTTGAAAAGAAAAGATACTCGTATCTCAATTGACTTTCTACTCCATCAGCCTCGCCAGAAATAGCTATTTAAGTGTTCTCAGCTACCACACAAATTGTTATCCTAGTATAGCAAGTACCATAAAACCTCAAACAATAAGGTACAAAAAGCTTTTTTAGAAATGATTCATTGTGAGAGCCTGCTCGACTGCCGGCCACCACAATGTCAGGTAATTCCATCATCTGACTCGAGGTGATTTATTACTCGGCGTCGATTTCCTAATAGGAAATTATCTAGCCTCAGATGATCGGCTGAACCGAGGTGGGGTGCTACTGATGAGTCCCATTGGGACGAAACAGGTGTCTGCATAGCACTAGACCTAATCAAAAAACATGCTATATTCTTATCAGATCATATCATTTTGAACGAGTCTATATAAAAGCGGTTGGAAGGGGAGGTATAAATCCTAGACGAGATTATTACTGTGTAGATAGCGTGCAAGCAGTAGCTTGTGTAAAGAAGTATTTGTCCCTCTTTATAACCTTTCTGGACCACGAAAGTCTGGCAGCAAGCGAACGAACACCATTCCATCAATGCTTATTCGCTAACTAATGAGCCTGAGTATGAACAATGGCTTTGAAAGACATTTACAGTCACAAAAATACGATTACAATATCGTTCCACCGCCCATATAAGTAACAGAAATCGACGACAGCGCAATTGCCGCTATATTGTTTACTGCAGCAGTGGCTTCGAAAATGAAGTCACTTCATTGAAATGGAAATGTCATGAATTGTTAAAAACTCTCTCTGAAAGAATTGCTTCACTACCGCTGTCGTCATTATCAAAGTTGCGGATGGAGGCGACAATGAAGAAATTTTTTGTAAATTCTCTTGCGAAACTGAATGTCTAAATAAAAGGTAATACTAACTCAGAATATGATCAAGTTCGAAAACCGATGCTGTGACAGGTTACTGAATCAAGGTCTGTAGTTCATTGAAATCAACATAAAAAGATGAATGGGGGAAATAACTGAGGAAAAAGCTTAGACGTAGCTGTTTGACTGTACCACAATGTGCTCGGACTATTTAGTGGAGCTCCAAACTCTACTATCCAGTTGATTATCTATCATCTCGTCGTCTAGATACGTTCGTAATGAGTATAGAATGTCAGCTGCTAGAAATTTTCTATGAAACAGTTCTGTTTTGCTTATCTCTTCATCACATCGACTGTTTTCAAAGTAATTCGTATTCTATATAAGTTTGAATAGTCTTATAATTCCTCTGATCTATGCACCTTACTAGACGAAGACGAAAGCTCACGTCGACATCACTTCAAACATTTCAACGAAATGCACCATTCTGTCAGCATGATTTTTCATATAGAGCAGTGATTAGGTGCCCTGCAGTACATAGCCTCTGGTTCGATCCTTGAAAAAACCAAGTTCTGCATCCCTCTGAAAGTGCGGCGCTTATCAGGAGGGATAAGGGCCGATAATTTTGCAATCCGTCGTTGAGACCAACTTTGCATTTAATCATCTCTACGATGCTTTGCTCAGAGTCAATGCATAGTTAATTTCACAGAGACTGATCAGCGCCAAGCGCACAATATTTTTTATTCTTGTTCTAATTCTACAACGTGTGATAGGTAAACCAATAAAATTTTATAATCGGACGAAATTGGATATATCAACCCAGTTTTGTAATAATTAACACAAAGCTAAAAATAAATACAGTGATCTCTAGGCTCCTGAAGAGCCTATAGGTCACCGTAATTATGTTTTTTGAGATTCCTATAGAACTGGATTATGAAAAGAGATTCTTGAAAGGGACAACTAACAGCTTTTTAGTTCATGCTGTCTGTATCAGAATGAGTGAATGACTCTCAGATCCTTTGTACACATCAACACTTATCGAAGAGAAAGTGAAATTGCGTCGTGGAAGGTCACCGAGACTTGTTCGTCACGTCGACGATGGCAGCTTCCAGACATCGCTGCAGCGTCGAATCAGATATTACTAGCGGGGCAAATTCTCGTTCGATTTTCTATTGATGTGTTAAAATTTCATAAAAAAAAAATCTCTTTAGAAAATTTCACAAGAGAATAAATATCTCTACTTGGATATTTTTTACGAGAGCGTTTGTTGTAAAATTGTCAGTTAATGGATCTGGGTTGGACCCTATAGTGAATGCCCACCATCCCAAAATTGGAATCGCTGATTTCGCATAATCTCCAGACTTCGTAGTACTCGCGAAATGTGGAGTTCGCCGAGTGGGGTTCTTCATTCGAGCGCCGCCCCACAGGAAAAGGTTTGACTTAAACGAAACGAAGGCGAGATCCACAACGAGTATGAACAACAGTGGTCGATCGACATGAGTCTTCGGCTTGAAACATTGGCCAAATGAAAGAATTCAAAATTTCAATATGAATATTATTTCGTAATACTAACAGTCCCGTGCTACGACTACGTGCTCAATCAACAAAGAAATTACGATTGATTGGTCATGCTGAGATTGAGGGAAAGTCGGTTCACAATATTTTAGCAAAATATATTATTTTCAATCTTCAAGAATACTTCAAACGACTTATGTTGCACCACACATGTATTATAGCAAGACCATGCAAAAATATTATGTTCTCGGAGCAAAGTTGATTCCATATAAGTAAGAAATCATTTTTTTTTTTCATGTATTGGTCGTAGATGGTAGAATGCTTTGAACTGTCCTTCAAAACACACCTGGTCGTTTATTCGATCTCGTGTCCTATGTGAGTGAAACCTCCCATATACACAGAATTAGTTAACCGACACACTCAAGATCTAACATGGAAGGACAAAAACACTAACGTCATACATGAGTGAGCCTCCTGCAGTGATTGAGTAGTTTGAATTAAATTTTAAAAATTTTTATTTTTTTATTATTTTTTGAATTTTTATTTTTTATTTGTTTTTAATTTTTAACTTGAGGTTTGTGTAGTCTGAATATGTATGCATCACATTTACGACTTCTTACTTTATGGAATCGGAGCTGAAAAAATCTGGAAGTAATTGATTTCCAGCCTCGCAAACCTTAGAATTGATCACTGTAGATGAGCTCCTGAGTACAAACTAGTTCACTTCTAAGAATATGTTGTAAACGTTAGTTGAATCAACGACTGAATCAACTCAAGCCTTTCGTTGATTTAGGCATCTGGTGTTATGTCTTTTCATATATATTACCATTGCGCTTAGAAAACTTCTGTTTAATATTATTGTTATTACCGCTACTGTTTCCATGGCATTTTTATCAAGCACTGCATAGAGCACTACCAGAGTAAGAATACTATTAGGAATACAAAAGTGTCGTTTCTGTTTACAAGTTCACAAAACTGCCTGCTAGTTCATAATTCAAGATAAAAATCGAATATTGGAGAGTTTGCCACTCAGACTGTCAAAAGACATTAGCGGCATCGTCTCTACTGTTAACGATCAAACTAGCAGGAAACTGCTTTCGAAAACGACGGTTTTGAAGAACTCATTTTAACTCTAAAAACACCGACAACTTCTCGCAATGTAAAAACTGACGAAGCGTTCGACAAATTGGTTGCGCCGTATCACCTCTCAAAATCTCGCCTCCTCTTTTCACCACAATTACACCGTGTTTTCGATTCAAAAACTCTTTGCATTAGCAGTAAATGGATAACATTACGGTAAACGAACGTTGTCCTTGAAACGGAGATATCTCAAACAAATAAATCTGTCGATCGTTGATTTTTACGAGTGAGTATGTGACATCGCTTTGACCCTTTTGAGATCGTATATCTCAAAAATGGCAGTGGCCTTTTCGTGGTTTCTTCCTCCAGCATAAATTTTTCACTAAATTTTCAAAAGTTACTGGGTAGTTCAAAACTCGATTATTCCAAAATTATGTTTGGTTTCTGTTAATTCCTTTCTAGAGCGCGGCAAGAACGGAAAGATCACGTTTCGCACTTGGAGTGGTGGCCCATTGCTTCAACTTCGTAACAAGTTTATGAGTAATCTAAAACGAATATATTGGTCAAACCTGCTCAATGATTCCATCGAGACCCCAATTTCCAAGTGCAATGTAGTTTTGGTAACTGAATGTTAGCAAACAAAGATAGGTCATTGGAAATTCTTTTTATTGTTATAATATTTATATTAAGGATTCTGGTATTACTAGTGCTAAATATTCCTTCTGGTGAGGGGTATTTTTGTTGCACTACCAACTTTAGGAAATCTAAGAGTTATACTTCTGCTATCAACTGCTTTTTTACAGACCCGCTCAAAAATGAT